GACAAATGTAAAAAGAAAAAAGGCACAGCACATATTATAAATATTTCCACCTCCATATAATTCACAGCATTTCCCCTCACCAGAAGCATTTACATATCCTTACATAGATTCCAAGAGTTAGCTAGAAATGACACTCTCTCAGTGTAAGTGGGAGCACAAATTTCTGGGCTGCCACTGCTATGCTAATCAAACAATTCCTTGGCATTTTAAATTGATTTTCTTTTGAGACAGAGTCCTGCTGGTAGTTCAGTCTGGCGTTGAACTCACTATGGAGCCCAGAGTGGCCTCAAATGCATAGCGATCATCCTGCCTCAGCCTCCTGAGTGCTGGGATTACAGGCACGCGCCACCACGCCTGGCTAGCATTTTATTTATTGTAGTGCCCAGGGCCTTGAACTCAGACTAGGCAGGAACTCTGTCACTGAGCTACTGAGCCCCAACCTGGGCTCAGATTCTTAAGATATGAGTCATTCTTAGAGAAATAAATATGACAAAAACGTTAAGTAGGATTAGGCAAGAGATCCCAAAATATTGTTTATTCTTTTTTTTTCTCTGTATCAGTTATCCATTATTGTTTAGTAAGTCATCCAAAACTTAGTGACCTCAAACATTTGTCCTTCTATAGTTTTGTGGGTCAGGAATTAGGAATTAGCTTAATTGGTCTTGGCTCAATTTTTTTTTGAGACAGAGTCTTGCTCTGTAATTCAGGCTGGCTTTGAACGTACTGTGTACCCCAGGATGGCCTTGAATTTGCAGCAATCTTCCTGTCTCAGCCTCCTGAGTACTGGGATTACAGTTGTGCACCACCATGCCCAACTCAATTTCTTCCTTTTTTTCTGTCAATTTTATTGTGTTTTAAAATTTTTCATTAGTACATTTGCAGTATATAATGTTTACATTCCTTTTCTGGAGTTGGCACATGTACATAATACATCTTAATTCCTTTATTTTTTTTATCCCCTTCCCCTCCTTCCCCCATCTCTTGATTCCCTTCCCATTTGAAAAATATCTATCTTCCTACTTCCTATTATCTTTTAAGCTAGGGGGCTGCACACCTGTAATGCTAGCACTTGGGAAGCTGATGCAGGAAGATTGTCAGGAGTTTGAGGCCAGCCTGGGCTACCTAGGAAGTTCAAGGCCAGCCTGAACTGTATAGTGAGACACTGTCTTAAAAAAAAAAAAAGGATCCATACCTATTATCTTTTATTTTGCTCTTGATTTGTAATTCAAACTTCTCATATAAAAGAAACCATGTGACCTCAATAAACTGAGCCAAAATTAACCTCGGACCCTTTAAAGAAACAGATATTTAAGCTTATGTGTCTGCTTTATTTCAGTTAACATTTGGTCTCAAGGTATACCCATTTTTTTCCTACAAATGACCCAAGTTTATCCTTCTTATGGCAGAGTGGTTCTCCACTGTGTGTGAATATCACGTTTCCTTTATCATCTGTCAAGGGACAATAGAGGCTGCTTCCACAATTTAACTATTATGAGTTGTGCTGCTATAAGCATGGGTGTGCAAGTATCACTGTAATATGAAGCCTTTTAACTCTTTTTGGAACATATCTAGAAAGGGAATAGCTGAGTCAAATGGGATTTCTAGTTTCAGTTTTCTGAGGAATCTTTATGCTGATTTCCAATGATTGTACCAGTTCACACTCCCACCAAGCATACAGAAAAGGGTTCTTTTCCCTTTAACTTCACCGGCATTTGTTATTATTTGATTTCTTAATGCTAGCCATTCTCAGTTTCTCATGTGACTGTAGTCATGTCTACAAGGACTGCAGCCTTAACGCGGCTGGAGGATCTGCTTCCAAGATAACCTGCCCACATGCCTGTTGGCCGGAGGCCTCCTTTCCTCTCTGGCTTTTTCCAGATTCTGTTTGAGTGTCCTCAGGACATGGTAGATTACTTCATCTCACTTAGTGACCCAAGAGACAGTAACAAAGAAATAAAAGTATCCGTTATGATCTAATCTCTGAAATAATACAGTCACTTCTGCCTTATTCTGCTTATTAGAAGCAGGTCATAACAAAGAATTTGTGGGAGGAGATAAGCTCAACAGAGGAGACCTTCCTTAGCCTGTGTAAGACCCTGGGTTCAGTACCCAGTGCTGAAAAAAAATGAATTTATGGTCATATTTTTAAGTCACCACACTGTCCGTTTTGGCTTTTGAAGCAATATATTCCTTTTACCTAGGCCGACTGAGGCTGGGTTTTGGTTATTTGGAAACGAGAGCTCTGACTAATACTGTCATCAAAAGGTTTGCACAAGAGTATAAACTGATAATCACTTTGGAAAACTCTTGAGTAATATCTACCAAAGCTGGACCTAGCCATGCCTTAAGCTGCAGCAATTCCATTCCTGTTGTATATATTCCTATATTATGTATCTCCAACATACGTGCAAAATATATATGCTCCAATACAGTAGGTAAAGAAAATTCATGGAAGTGTTATTCATAACTAAAACCTGAAGAACTGGATGTGGTGGTGTAGGGTTATAATCCCAGCTACTTGAGACGTTGAAGCAGTTCAAACCCAGTGTGATAGTTAATTGACTGTGTCAATTTGAGTAAAGAAAAAGCCCAGCTAAATTGGCTTAGCAGAGCTCTGGGTGTAGAAGACCCACCCTAGGGAGGATTATTGCCAGAATGGTATAAAAGGGAAACAAACAAAGGATTGCTTGTTTCTTCAGAGGAGCTCCAGTCTTGGCCTACACCGTGGACGTCATCTCCTGGCTTCCAGCACAGACTCTTCAGTCACCAGCACAGACCCTCTGGCTGATACAGTATAATGTCATGTGTGGCACCACACTGAGCTCCAAGCCTTCAACTGGATCCTTTGGATCTGTAATGTGCAGGGAGACTTTTGCACTCTTCCACACCTGACTCTGTGGCGTCCATTGTATGTCAATTTTGTAAATTCTTACATATTTGTATATCTTTCATTAAATCTGCTTTTTTTTTGAGACAGGGTCTGCTATGTAGTCCAAGTTGGCCTTGAACTCACTATGTAGCCCAAGCTGGCCTCAAACTTTCAGCCATCCTCTTGGCTCAGCCTCCTCTGTACTGGGATTATAGGCGTGGGCCACTACACCCAGCCAAATTGGTTTCTCTAGTAGGCTCTGACTGAAACAGACTTTGGTACCAGGAGTGGCTCTAAAGAAACAGAATTGTAAAGATGAAATTCTTTAATGGTTTGCATGCCAAGTACCAAGTGATGTGTTACTCTGCTCAAGCAAGGACACCACATCTGGTACAGCTAGCTTAGGCAATTTCGGAAGACCTTGTTTTAAAATTTTAAAATACAAAGGGCTGGCGATGTAGCTCAGTGGTAAGCACTTACCACTGCATGTTTAAGGCCCCAGGTCAATCCCCAGCACCATAAAAACAAACAACAAATTCCCTAAAAGCAAGAGTACATCCACATAATTCCATTTATACAAGGTTCAAAGCTGGGTGTGGTGGCACACACCTGTAAACCCAGCACTTGGGAGGCTGAGGCAGGAAGATCACCACCAGTTTGAGGCCACCCTCAGCTACACAGCAAGTTTGAGGCCAGCCTGGGCTACAAAGTGATCTCAAGACTAGCCTGAACTGCATTGTAAGACCCTGTCTCAAAAAAAGACCAAAAAAGGGCTGGGGATATAGCTCAGCAGCACAGAGCCTGCCTGGCAAGTGCAAGGTCCTGAGTTCAATTCCCAGTACCAAAAAAAAAAAAAAAAAAAAAAAAAAAGGACCAAAAAAGTCACTTAAAGTCAAAGATAATTAAAACCACTACTTGAAAAACCAGGATTAGAGGACTGTAAAAATAATTTTTTGTGAAATATCTTTTAATGGAATTCTGTTAATCTTCCACTAAAATACCTTTTTGTTTTTTTCTGGGTACATGCCAAGCATCCCGAAGTTTGCAATTATGATTTGTCTTGTGATTTAGTTCTTCTGGGTTTAGGCCTTGAGACATTGCCCCTTATTTTCTCTTCCTGCCAGCTGAAAACCAAAGCAACACACTGTAATCATTCAATGACAAGACCCTGGGGTATGATAGAGTAACATAATGGAAAGAACCCAAGTCCCTGAATAACTACGTGGTCAGAGATGCCCTTTCAACTGTCCCAGTCTTCTAAGATCTATTATATAAGAAAGAAATCCTTTAAAGCCATAGTATTGTTGGACCTTACGGTATTTCCTTTTAAAAGGACAGCATCCTTCTTGACAGTACATCCATGTCAAGTCAATTTGGGAATGTTTGCGATTTCACAGAGCACTTAAATTTCAACATGCATTACTAAATATAATCTATATCTTGAGAATTAAAAACAGTAACAAACATTTATGCCTTTTGCAATTTTTTCCTCAAAGAGAATTTTTTTGATTACTTTTTTTTAGGCTTTGTATGGTAGGGCTTACTAAAAACAAATTGCGAGCTCCTTTAAGTAGACAGTCTTTCCAAATACCTTGAACAGCGCATCAGTACATGTTTATTAAATGAAGCACTTTATTTCAGGAACGATATGGCACTCCTTTTTCCCCCTTCAGGTACTAGAGATTGAATCAGAGCCTTCACCCTGATGTACGTCTCACCAAATTGCCCAGGTTCGGTTAGGGAACTTGAGATCCTCGTACCTCACACCCCGCACGATATGGCATTCTTATGGGTACAAAGCGCTCAGTCAACTCACAGAGGGATTAAGAAACCTAAATCCTGTAATTCCAAGGAGGGCGTGGTGACATAAACCCGGAACACGGGAAGACGCCGTCCACGGATCCGTGACGCACTTCCGGCGCGACGCTGTCCCTCCACGCCGGGACTGGGGTGGGGGAGGGAGGCGGTTAGTGGGCTTTAGCGCCTTTTCTGGCGGCGGTAGATTTGAAGCGTTTTGAAGGACTAGGCCCATAGAAGAGGACATCCTAGTGGCACAGGTGGGTGACGCGAGGACCGTGTTGTTTTGGCGGCGTCGTTTGCTGCAGTCCGGGTACGAGAGCGGGAAGGGCCCGGGCAGAGGGGCGGAGCTGGCGCGTCAGGCCGGGCTGGGTTAGCAGCCTTTCCCTCGAGCTATATAGACCGCTTGGGCCCGCAGGGGCCCCGAGGCCCCGGGAACGGCCTTGGCAGTCGTAGGCGGCTTCCAGCCCAGCCTCTGGGGCCTAGGAAACGGCTCTTCCTCGGGCGGCCCCCGCCCTCCCCACTGGGGCGCGCACCTCGCTCCCTGACGCATTTTGCCGCACAGGCTGTAATATGGCGGCAGCGACGGCGGCCTGAACTCCGGGCAGCGGGGCCGATTTTTTGATGCTTCAGAATCGTAAGACTGCGCGCTGCAGCGGGGGAGGCTGGGATGGCTGGCGGGGAAGGAGGTGGCACGAGCTGATGTCCTGTCAAGTTCGGGGCAGAGAGGGCGGGGAAGAGTGCGAGTCCGGGGATTAAGGTTGGGTACAGTTTTCTCCGACCCTGACCTTTCGCGCTCGGAGGACGGCTGCTCGCGTGCATACTTCAGCGCAGTGGGGCACACTGTCGCACGTTCTTGTAGAAGTCAGGTCCAGAGCCTTACCTTGGCTCTTTCGAAGTTTTTCCACGTTTTCCAGGAGCTGCGAGCGGCGCAGGCCTGGTAGGACCACGGTGCTCTAGGAGGAAGGTGATGGTTTCAGAGCTCCGTACGCCTTAAAGGAAAATGAACTAATTTGGCCTGTCTTTGGTCTTTTTAAGGCCCAAAGTCTTAATTACACCGGCAAGGAGGATGCCTACTCGTTCTAGAAACGTTGTAAAAGCACCAGTTTGTGTGTTGAATTTCTCTCCACAAAAGTACATTCAGTGCAGCACTATATTTTTCCGGTAGTGGTCACAAATAGGTCCTAAGAACAACTAGATGTTTCTGGAATTTGTAAGGCCAGTATTCACTTGCAGAAGCTAAAACCAGAAAGGAGAAAAATATATATGTGTTTATGTTATTGCCGTTTTGTGGCCGAAGATGGTGATTAATTGCTAGTTTGTAACAGCCTTTGGGGAGGTGGGAGTGAACGTTTCTAAAATTTTGAAATCACACTGTAAGATACAGAAAAGGCAGCTAACTAAAAAGGTTGCTTCTCTTCCATGTTTTTCATGTACTTGAAACTTTACCTGCCCGACACTTGGGAGGCTGAGGCAGAAGCATTGTTACAAGTTGGAGACCAGCTTGGCTACAAAGTGAGCTCAAGGCTAGCCTAAACTGTATATCGAGACCCTGTCTCAAAAAAAGACCGAAAAAAAGAAAAAAGAACTCACTGTGTAGACCAAGCTGGCCTAAAACCCTCGGGAATCCTTCTGCCTTAGCCTCCAACTGCTGGATTGCAGGCATGTGCCACCACACCTGGGTTATGAAAAATAAATATTTAGGTTTGTTAAAAATTGTAAAATCGCCTTTCAGTGACCATCTTAGTTCTTAGTGAAGAGGTGCAAGTGCTGTACTACTACTGAGCTACATCCCCAATTCTTTTTAATCAATTTTTTGTTTTGAGACGGTCTTGCTAAATTGCCCAGGCTGGTCTTGAATTTATTATCCTCCTGCCTCCATTTCCTAGTGTGCTGGGATTATAGGTCTGTGCAGTTAGGCCTAAATTCAAATTCTTTTCAGTTTTACTTTGTTTTGTTTTTTGAGACAAGGCCTCACTATGCACTCTAGGCTGGCCTTGAACTCACAATGATCCTTCTGCCTCAGCCTCCGGAGTGCTGCGATTCCAGGCATGTGCCACCATGCCTGGCTTTTTTGCGGGTGTGGTCCTGGGGATTGAACTCCGGGTGTTGCGCATGCTAGGTAGATGCTCTACCACTGAACTGCACCTCCAGCCGGCCTGGCCTGTTTTGAAAAAAAAATTTTTTTTTTTTTTTTTTTTTTTTTTTTTTGTCATTTTGGAGACAGGGTCTTGCTATGCAGTTCAGGCTGGCCTTGAGCTCACTTTGTAGCCCAGGCTCGTCTTGAACTCACAGTGATCCTCCTGCCTCAGCCTCCCAAGTGCTGGGATTATAGACATGTGCCACCACGCCTAGCTACTCTTTTTTTTGAAACAAGGTCCCAGTATGAGGTTCACCTTGGCCTTGAACTCACTATGTAGCTCAGGCTGGCCTCAAATTCATAGTGATCCTCCGGCCTCAGCTTTCTGAATGCTGGGATTACAGCATGCACCTCCACACCTGGCTTATTTTATTTTATTTTATTTTTTTTGGTTTTGGTTTTTTCTGGTACTGGGAATCAAACTCACGACCTTGCGCTTGCCAGCTAGGTGCTGTGCCTCTGAGCTAAATCCCCAGCCCCCACCTGGCTTATTTTAAATTCTTAAAGTTTTGGTGTTTGCATCTATGATTTTGCAGTATAGGTGGCCTATATATATTTTGGTATTCTGCATATTTTAAATTAGATTTTCCGTCAGATAGCATCTATTCTTTATGCAAAAGAAAATTGGTAGCCATTTATAATATCTTAGGCTAGACCAATTCTATTAGTTACCATAACACTGTCTGCACTTCTTTAAATTGTTGCCCCTTTTAGGAAATACATGTCCATTTTTTTTCCCTGTTGCTTTACAAATAGGATATTTCAACAAAATCAGAACAGTGTTTCTTTGTAGTACACTAATGTGTTGCAGTGTCTTGGCATTTGTAATAGGAATGACAGATAATTGACTATAATGAAGAACTTGTTGCAAATCTTCTACAATGTGGTATTGTATGTACTTAAAAAAAAATTTAATATTAGCCCTAAGCTTCAATTTTCATTTTGCTTACATGTCAGTGGTCTTCCCCAAGTTTTAGGTATATGTGATTGCCATATTCTTATGCCATATTCTGTATTTTTATTTTTGTAGGGCAACACTTGGATCTTGGCATTATTGGCAGTATTATAAGTATTAAGAGAAATTTTTGATGTAAGAATGACTAGATTGAGTAACATAGGGTTAGAATAGTGTTAGTGTACCTTTGAAGTACTAAGTAGCCCCCTGTCCCCATCTTAAGAGCTTCTGGCATAGGCAACACTCCATTGATTTTTTTTTTTTTTTTCCCAGAGCTCCTGATTGATTTTAACACTCCATTGTTGAGCTTCATCTCTAACCCTTTTTACATTTTTTTTATTTTTTATTTTGATGTTGTTTGTTTACTTTTTGGTACCTGGAATCGAACTTAGGGCCTTGTGTTGCCAGGCAGGCACTGTGCTGCTGTGCCACTGAGCTATATCACCAGCCTTTATTTATTGTTTTGAGACAGGGTCTCAAGTTGCCCAGGCTGGCCTCAAATTTGGCCTTCTGCCTCAGCTTCCCAACTAGTTGGTATTACAGGCATGCATAACCATAGCTGTATTACATTTTTATCTTCCTGAGATCATATGTGTAATATGCGTATAATATTTTTATTTAGCATTGACTTTAACATGTTATATATTTTCTCTAAGTTTTCTAGAAGATTTAAGAATCTCAAGTGCCTATACACTTAAGTTGCTGTCAGCCCATCAGTTTGTGTCTATTAGAAACAAAGGAAATCACATTAGATGAAAGAGCAGAGTTGTTCTTCCTGACATCTCAGAATATTAGCTTGTTTTTACTGATTTTATTTGCAGTTTGGCATTCATAAATGTACTGTTTTTGAAGCAGTTCCTTCTCATTTCTGCTTTGATCTATGTGAACTATTATCAGGAGTACATCAAAGAGGCTTGTGTGATTGTTAAAGTGCTTTCCTTGAAAGTAATCTTAAAGATCTGCTATAGTCTTAATTATCTCGTATGGTTACACTGAGAGGTGGTAATTTGGCATAAAAAGAAAATCATTACCTGTAGCCAGGCACCATGGCAAATTGTTGACTGGCGACAAAAAGAGATTGAGACGGGGATCCCAAGTTTGAGGCCAGCCTCCGCAATTTTGCAAAATCCTATCAAAATTTTTAAAAAGGATTAGGGTTGAAATTCAGTGGTAGAATGCTCTGGTTCCAGAAAGAGAGACTACTTTTCTTCATAGAATACATCCCAGTGGGAAGATTTAGGGAATGGGCTTGGTTTCATTGGTGGGTGGTTACTGGCAGGCTCTGAGAAAATTTACAAACTAAAGATAAATGTTAGCAATACCGCATGATAGAGGCACTATATATAGGGGGAAATGCAATGGTAGAGACTAGTTTTATTTTTTATTAACTATTATTAGCTAGTTTTATTTTTTAGGTTTTTTTTTAGTTTTATTAATTCTCATTAACTAGTGTTTTTATTTTATTTTATTTTATTTTTTGAGACAGTCTTGCTAGTTGTGCAGTTCAGGCTGGCCTTGAACTCACTTTGTAGCCCAGGCTGGCATCAAACTCATGGTGATCCTCCTGCCTCAGCCTCCATTAACTAGCTTTCTAAAAAAAAAAAAAAAATTGGTAATGTGGGTCTGGGCCAGGCACTGTGCTTAGTATAGAAGTTTATGTTTGAAAGATTCAATGAGGAGCCAGGTGTGGTGACACACTTGGGTAATCCCAGCACTGAGAAGGCTCAGGCAAAGGAATGATGGGTTTGAGACCTGTTTAGGCTACAGAGTGAGACATTGTTCCAACAAAAGGAAAAAAGAAAATCAGTGAGGGAGAATCTTTTAACCCTTAAAGAACCAGAGTAATGTTCCCAGAGTAGAATCTTAAAGGACATGTAGGAATTAAACAAGGGAGGGGCTGGGGATTTAGCTCAGCGGCAAAAGCGCCTGCCTGCCTGGCAAGTGCAAGGTCGTGAGTTCAGTTCCCGGTACCGGAGAAAAACCAAAAAAAAAAAAAAAAAAAGGAATTAAACAAGGGAATCAGAAGTGGCAGACTTAGTATATTAATAGTTGAAAAGAATTTACTCTCTGCCTTTTTAAGACTTAGTGCTATGCTGAACATTGAAAATTCCAAATAACTACTTGCCAGAAAGTCACTACTTGTTTGCTGAATTACAAATACCATGTCATTTATCACATTTAATAATTAGTTGCCTGTATCCTTGTACTGTTTGCTGGCATCCTTCTGTTATGTTATTTTAGGGTGAGTATGGCAATTATTTTCTGCACAAGTTGAACTTGTTACTTCTTACTGACATTTTAAAAATGTATTTTGTTGCAGAAGTTTAGAAATCTGTGCATTTAATAATATAGCATGTTACTGCTTTATTAACAAACTGACTGCCAGGGAGATAGCTCAGCAGTACAAGTGCCTGCATGGCAAGCACAAGGTCCTGAGTTCGATTCCCAGCACCAAAAAATAAATAAATAAATAAATAAATAAATTGACAAAGTGACTGATTAATGATAAACATTAAAAACTAAATATCATAATCATTAGTAT